GTTATCTCTTCACTCTGCTGGTGGTTTGCTTTACTGTGTCAAAGCTTTTTAATGTAATGAGATCCCAGTTCTTGATTCTTTGTTTTTGTTGCTGTTGTTGTTGTTTTGATTCTTTGTAATATTTCCTGTGCAATCAGGCATTTGATCATAAAATCTTTGCCTACACCTATGGCTTCAAGAGTTTTACCTATTCTCCCTTCCAGCAGATTTAGTGTTTCTATTTTAATATTCAGATCTTTGATTCATTTCAATTTTAGTTTAGTGCCTGATGAGAAATATGGATCTATATTTAATCTTTGGCATGTGCAAAGCCATTTTTTTCCAGCACCATTTATTAAAGAGGCTGTCTCTCTTTCAGTGAGGGTTTTTGGCCCATTTGTCAAAGATAAGGTGTGTGAGTTCATTTGGAATTTTTCTGACTCTTTAAATCTGTTCCACAGAGCCCTGGGTCTGTTTCTTTGCCAGGCCCATGCCATTTTTCTCGCAGTAGCTTTGTAGTATAATTCCAAGTTGGGAATTGTGATGTCCTCTTCCTTGCCTTTGTGCCCAGGAGCGCTTTTGCTATTCTAGGTCTCTTCTAGTTCCACATGAATTTTAGGATTGTTTTTTCTAGTTCTGTGGGGTACACTATCGAAAACCAGGTTAAATAACCCTAAGTTATTGCAGGCTGATCAGGCCCCGCAGTCTCCCAAGCAAGTGAACGGCAAAGGCCTAAATAAATAAGGCAATGGAAATGATTTCAGGGCTCTAGGAGGGACTAACTCTCTTACAACTTTAATATTCTCTGAGTTTAGCCCAAGACTTCTCTGGGCCTCCCGGATTTATTTGGTTTACAAACAAAGGAGGAGGATACTCAAGAAATTGTGGGAATCTGGGCAGGACTTTTCCAAGTAATACATTATGTTAATTGAGGAGAACTATGTTATCTCCAGGAAGGCCTTCACAGCAGGAGTGAGATGTCTACAGCTACAGTCTCCTTTAAGTTAATTGGGGTTGGAGCCAGACATCCTCAG